GAAAACAAACCTTCTTCAGAGGCTAAAAGAAAAATGAAAATAACACTAAAACTAAAAAAAAAATTAAAATAAAATTGAAAGTTCTTTACGAAAAAAATTAAAATAAAAATGAAAGTTCGTTACAAATGTGACAATAAAAACAATGGATTGTTATTGGTATAGAAGACTAGGTGGTATCATATATCAGTGAGCTTCGTCATGTCTATTTATTCAGGGTTAGGGTTAGGTTAGGGTTAGGGTTAGTGTCATCCCGATTTAATGATAAAAAATACTTTCTCCAAATTAAAAAAAAAAAATTCCAGATTTCAGCTGTACGCACGCTCCTGGTCACCACTTTGAAAATAATAATAATAAAAATAATAACAATTATAATTATTATTTATTGCAGCGTATCCAACAAAGTGACGCTCTTCATCTACAATATCTACATTATAAATCTACTCTAAAAAAAGAAATATATACATAAAAAATAGAATATATACATATTTACAACTGTGTTTGCTGCTTAAAGTTCCTTACATAAAAGGTGTCTCTTCGCAGTGCGACAGAAGGAATTTTACCCAGTTATGTTTCTAACAGCTAATATACAGGGAGCTTATTACAAATAGTTGCTGCCGAGTGCTGAAATGTTCCTGATTCTCTCGGAATAGAAAGGACAGGCGCAATCGAGGATCGTAAGCTATAAGCACTGACCTTGTGTAAATTTAATTATTAAGATATTCAGGAAACGTTTCATCATATAGCGACTTGTTAGTCAACTTAAGTACATTTAATTCAATGTTCTTATTCACTAGAAGCCAGTTCAACTTTACAACGTCCTCCACTCCTGCGAACCTTCTTGTGACAAATCCAGCGCATGCATTTTGAAGCCTTTGGAGGAGCTTCATTTGAAATGCTGGAAGGGGGTGGAAAACGGAGCATGCGTAGTTCACTTTAGAGAGGACTAAGCTCTCTGCCAGGTGTTTCCTCACATGAAAAGGGGCTAGATTTTAAAGCCTGCACAGTACTGACAGTGTCCCGTACGATGAACTTAACACATGGTCTACATGCGTCTTCCAGGTCAGGTGTTGGTCTACGCGTACACCCAATAGCTTTGTGCAGGAAATCCGTTTTAGTGGAGTATCGCCACAGGCGATAGGAAGTTTTAGTTCTTCTAAACTGTCATATCGCGCCATCTGAGGGGTGGAAATAAGCATCCAGTTTGTCTTGGAAGAATTCAAGCAAGGCCAGGTTGCAACTCTTAGAATAGTCCCTCAGGCTTGTAACTGCTTTATTTATGTGATCTGCTGAATAATCGAGATCACATGGTTTCGTGTGGATGTAAAACGTCCTATCGTCAGCATATTGATAACAGTCATACATTTTGTTTCTTACAAGGAGCACAATAGGCTACGTACTGTTCTCACTCGAATCGAAACGACCAATACTTAAATTTCTAAAAGACCGCGAAGCGTGTCAGTAAAACGTGGATCTACGTACCTTTTTTTAAACAATGCTGTTTTAGGATTAGGTTTAGGGTTGATTGAATATTGAATATTGGTGTATTTGCCAGTCTGAAGGGTAGAGGTCTCACCACTACTTGTAACTTCCTTGATGGTGTCACTGTTTTCCCCTTTTTTCCCGTAAACACTGTACTAGTCCTCGATAGACTGTGTTCGCAAAAGTAGCATAATATGCTACCAGCAGTGCTCGTATATTTCTAAAATCATGCCAATAATTATTCTAATTTTTGTAAATTATGCTCATTTTAGCAAAAACTGCAGAAATTGTGCTTGTACTATTTAGTTCAAATTTGGTCAAAACATCTCAATAACAATAAACGAACACATTTATCCTATTAATTGCTCAACTGGCGGTTGGACCAATGATGCGACCATTCAAAATAATGTCGCAACAATGTTGTAATGATGTGTTGCGCTAAAAATTGTCGTTGCGAATCGTTCCTTGTAACGTCGCCTTAACTATGGTGGGATCGAGAAAATTACATTCGCCCAAAGTGACTAAGATTGGGTCTATTATTGGCCACCGCCGTTTCTTCCGACTCAACTGACCGCCCCTGGGTATCAGAGGATAGTCTCCAGGTGGGGCCAAAATAATGTCCCCAATTAGTACTTTCGTGCTAAATCCACTGACACTCAAATAAAATGCATTTTTTTTTCTTGCTGACCATGAAAGTTATGAACGCACTTCCTAAAAACTAAACCCACGAGGTTCTAACTTAAACCGAAACAGGAACTCTGATGTAGGTAACAAACATAGTCAGCTATAACCCAAAAACATGCTCACTTCAAGGACTGACACTCAAATTTAATGAATGACAATATTATGTACAAAAATCCCTTATATTAAGGTAAAAAAAATTCAAAACCTGTCTATACAATAACGGATTAACCTTGATATACAAACCTAATTATAACGAGACTCTTTGCTAGGGACGAGTGAATCTTCAAGTGCAAACATAAAATGAGCTAAGTAAATACCACATGACAAAAATCTTCATAACAACCTAGAAAATTCTTCACAACATTATAGTGGGCAGTCCCTTGCGGACCTGTAAGACCTCATGTTGAAAATGGTGTGGTCTTAAGTTTACAATAAGAAATTGTCGATAAATCTATTAAGCAAATAGAGTTTTACATGAACAACTTCAACATCATACTAACAAAAACTGAAAGCCATTTAAAGGGGGGGTCTAGAAAATTCAGAAAGTGGGGGGGGGATCTGCTGGACACTTGCAAGCTATATATTATTGAGAATTCTTCAAGCAAAAATTGCAAAATTTCACAGAAAAAAAGGAGGGCGGGATCTCCTCAGACCACCCCTAAATCAACCCATGCATTATTTACATTGAAACATTATCCTTTTCCATCATTTACGTGGTGTTAAAAATCCAGTTTGGCAATTCACAGGAAAGGTTTGACAATTTGACGTATCCAGCAATGTCAACGTGGAAGGGAAATCTTTTTCCGTTTGTTTATCATTTCCCGGTAATTACTACAAACTGGATTTTGCATGTGCTACCTTAAAAATATTGTTACTAAATGATAGAAAGCAAGTCTTTGGTTGGTTATCTTTGAACCCAGAAATGATATCCACGCAGATCTAAGCTCTACCTGAGTATCTCAGCGAAAGATAAAGATTCCCTTTGATGGCCTTCTGCTCCTATACAAGAGAGGACTCTTGAGCAAAAATTCATACAGTAAAAGGCTACCAAAACTCTAATTTTCCTAATTACAAAAATAAAATGAATGTGAATATATGTTATTGACATCTACAAAGTCGACAGCCACTTCCCGACTTCTTCTTTCTCTTCTCTGCACCTTCACAAGAAAACAAGAAAGGCATCAAATAGAAGCCAAAACTACCCAACATTTGTTGCCCTTGTATCTCATAACGCGCTTAGCACCGCTGAGGGCGTAAAGACCTATTAAGGGGCAAGCGAAGCACTTGCCTTATTTATAATTTCAACTTTAAGGATTTAAAGAAAGAAAAGAAAGAGAATAGGTTTAAGCAAGAGATCATAATTGTCTTTGTAATGTTGGTTTAAGGGAGTTTATTATTGTGTCTTTAATTTTGAAGCAGGTGCTAGGGAAAAGTGTTCAATCTGTAATTTTAAAAAATGCGCGCACTTATATGTGACAAAATTTGGACCGTTTGATGCCAAATCTGGCTGTGACATCAACAGAGCACGGTCAGTGTCAAGTGACCCAATTTAGAAAATTGGGTTTTTCCTCAGAAACGTACATTTTGGCTCATACCCTTTAGTATTACCGTGATCCTTATCAAATGATTATGGTAATACTGATGAGGATGATGATGATGATGATGATGATGATCACATTACACAAGTAATAATAATAATAATAATAATAATTAATACTTCTACAGCGCATTTTAACATAGTGATTTGATCAAATGTGCATACTCAAAAATGAGACTTACATAGTCTATATTATACTAGCGGCTCTAATAACCGAAATTATTGACACTTTCAATTGCTACATCAATAATTTAGCATGACTAAAAACGAGCAAAAGATAAAGAAAAAAAAGGAAATAAAAGTTGAGAGTGAAAGATCCTCTGATAACTCAACCAAGTCGCTGTACGCTTCTATAAAGTAGCTAAAAAACATATGGAAATTCTTCCCTTTCCTAATGTAGTCCGGTAAGACGTTCCATGTCTTTGGAGCAGCTGAGGTAAATGATTAGAGGTCCATTATAAGGTAGTATCCTTTATAGCAGATGTTACTTGACTTTAATATTTCCCGCTTCTCGTTTGGCTAATGTAACTTAGGTATTTATGCATCAGTCAATTCCACCTGCGCCAGTAAAACCTTCTGTGTAGTTATATTCTGATAGGAAACCGCGTGCGTGTCAGAAGCTCGGGAATTGCCCTGAGGTTGGCAAATGCCCGACGCCCGGGCAGTGTAAAATTTGCAAATGCCCCTCCCTCGGGACTGACAAGGCGGGCAAAGGGCCCGCAGTAGCCCGGGGGAGAGGCAGGGCGCAGGTGGAATTGACTGATGCATTACACATGATGGTGACGCGGGGATAAAAAAGCCAACGGGAAGAAAAGAAGAGAACGCAAAAGAGAACTGAAGAAGCACAGTAGAGGAAGAAAAAAACTACAGGCAAGATAATGCAACTGGGGCACAGTAGCCTGTGTATAGCTAACCACTCCCTTTAAACAAATTAGGGAACTTAAGCAAAGGCGTTTTAGAGCGACGCACATCAACCGGAAGTGAACTTTTTGCCGTTCATCGGCAGTGGTTGTGCCCAAATTTTCGGGCATATCGTCTCTATCAGAGTAAAGAAATTTAATTAGCAATACAAATTTGTTATAAGCATCAATGCATATTGAAGGCCTCACTTCCAGTTGACGTGCGTTGCTCAAAAACGTCTTTGCTTAAGCTCCATAATGTTTTAGGGGAGGGGTGGCTAAAAACAGGCTAGACTGACAGCAACAGCAGCAGACAAAGACAGATATTGGGGATCAAAGGATCAAAATATCTCACCATCCAAAGATGAAGAGCTGTCAGATCTGTGATCCTCTTCCCGTGAATCCAGGTAACCATCTCCCTCAGATGACACATCATGCCCACTATCAGCATCTGAACCTTTCTTAGTAATCTGCTGTTTTTTTTGTTCATCATTGTGTTTGTCTCTCTTACCTCTTTTGTCTGTGAAAGAAAAGAGTAATTAAGCTTACAATGCACAAGATACGATGAAAATCAAACGTTGATCATAACATATCCTTTTTAAGCGACCTAAAATAGGTGCGGCCAAATTACTCATTTTACCCACAGGCAAATGGCTGTTGCCCACGGGGAAGCGGCTTTTTGTGTGACCGTTTTTCCCAAGGTGAAATTCAGTGCCTCGGGTAAATTTCCTTGGATACATCAATCCAAACAAAAGAATTACCCATGACAGTTCCCGAAATACGTTCTTCTGGTAAATAAGAACCTAAGGCGGCTCAACCAATCACGAGAGATTGAAACGTACCAAAAAGTAGAAATCACGTGTTGTTTACGTGCTGAGTCCGTCTTGGCGCCAAATCCAGCGCCAAACTGGACTGCGAAACCTCAGCAGGATTTTGAACACTGCTGTGTATGTTTTTCTGTATTTTACACTTTTAAATGAATTTAAGAGCTCCTCAAAACACTCGTAAGTTTTCTTTACATGTGTTCAAGAATTATTTCCTTAATTATGAAGTCGCTGCAAACATTTTTGTAAACCCGTACTTTTAATTTCTGAGCGAGAATTTGTCTTTCTTTAAAAAAAAATGAAGTGAACGTCGTCCTTTTTAGTCTCAAAATTTAACACTGAATCTCTCTTTCTAAGTTTAATTAATGTGGAGCGAGTGTTATTAATAAGATTATGTAAGCCTTCAATGTTTACAACAACGTTTACCTCAAAACTGGGTTCACGTTTTTTTTTTCCCATTGGGCAATTCATCACTGTGTAACCGCAACCATGACAGTGATCAATTGACCACTCCAGAAATGCCATAACATACCATAATGCTCTTTGTTTATCACCCCAAAATTTTGCATAAGCATTGTTTTCAGTTTCTCTTGGAGCCATTTTAACTCCCAAGAGAAACACAATGCTTATGCAAAGACAATGCTTATGCAAAATTTTGGGGTGACAAACAAAGAGCATTATGGTATGTTATGGTATTTTCTGGAGTGGTCAATTACCCAGGGTGACCCCAACCCAAGCTATTTCCCTAATCGGGGAACTTTGGGGGAAACGTGTAGTGTAACCGCACCTAATGTATTGTACCTGGGATCAGTGGAACCCCTAATTCGCTTTGAACTCGTTTATTTAAAGTAGATATTTGGTACTGGGTTTGCCTCGGCAGAAAGCCTCCTTGACACCATAAGAGGCAAACAATGTTTGGATCTTGAGGTTAGCAAAATTGAAAATGGCTTTAATAAATCGCGGTGTTAAACTCCATTTGTAGTTTGTCCGACTGATATGCAGCCCCAAATCGGAAATTGTGTTTGCCTGAAAATTTCTTTTTGGATGTAGCTGACTTTTGACCTACACCACTTTTCTTTGAAACCATCATCCAAACGCGGATTTTGCCTTTCTTTACTAAAACTAAAAACACACTCCCAATAGATTGCTGATAGATTATATCTAAATCCGCTTTTATACATTCACAATTAATGAGTTTGTTTGGCCATGGGTCCAAAAAAATTACACCTGTCGAGCATTCTACGTTATTGCAGGCGTTTCACACAAATATTTTTGGAACGCTGAAGAATCCGTCTCTGGGTTTTTACTCACGTTCCCTTTGTCGCGTCAAGTCCAAAGACTGTAAGATTTTGCAACGATTAAACCTTTAGTTATCGGATTATTTCTAAAAGAAATGCGCCCTTGATTAAAATCGTTAAAAGTTAGCAGGAGGAGACATTTGTAACTTAACAATGATTTTTGCTTTACCGTTCTTACTACTGCCTTTATCATCATCCTCATCGTCATCATCTTCTTTCTTGGATTGTGAAAAATGCCTTTCAGCTTCATGAGTAATCTGCAAGGACTAACAGGTTTTTTTCATTAGAAGAAACTTGAAGATACGGAAAGCAGAAATAGAGTGTAAACAGAAACTGTTACAGTCAAACCTAAATTAAGAGATGTCTTACCAACGTCCAAGACATCGATTCCATGATTAATATAAGTAAACCGTTATGGAGTTTATCAAATTAAAATCATTTATAAAGATGATAAGAATTTCATATATTGGAACTGCAAAAGAAAAAATGCAAAGACGATATCGATCCTCGCGGTTTAAGACTCATCTTATGCTGCTGTGAAAAAAAAAAAAAAAGAAAACTTCAGCCTTTTAAATTTTAACACAACACCAACGCGATAAGCCTCAAAGACTGCGTAAAATCTATCTAAAAGAAATATAATTTCCATAAATAAGTTTTTTGCGTCCGCTAGCAGTCCTTCGTGTACCTTATTTGGTGTTTTGTTGAGACAGTGCTTGTCTGCTCTAATGGCCAGAGCACGTTGCTGATACTCCTTGGCTTGCTCGAGGTCACCTAAATCCTTGTAAATCAAAGCTAAGTAATTATAACTTGTTGCAACATTAACATGCTCCGGGCCGAGCTTGTCCAGTTCAATGTCCAGAGCACGTTGCTGATACTCCTTGGCTTGCTCAAGGTCACCTAAATTCTTGTAAATCGAAGCTAAGTTATTGTAGTTTCTTGCAACATTAACATGTTCCGGGCCGAGCTTGTCCAGTTGAATGTCCAGAGCACGTTGCTGATACTCCTTGGCTTGCTCAAAGTCACCTAAATCCTGGTAAATCGAAGCTAAGTTATTATAACTTGTTGCAACATTAACATGTTCCGGGCCGAGCTTGTCCAGTTCAATGTCCAGAGCACGTTGCTGATACTCCTTGGCTTGCTCAAAGTCACCTAAATTCTTGTAAATCGAAGCTAAGTTATTATAACTTGTTGCAACATTAACATGTTCCGGGCCGAGCTTGTCCAGTTCAATGTCCAGAGCACGTTGCTGATACTCCTTGGCTTGCTCAAAGTCACCTAAATTCTTGTAAATCAAAGCTAAGTTATTATAACTTGATGCAACATTAACATGTTCCGGGCCGAGCTTGTCCAGTTCAATGTCCAGAGCACGTTGCTGATACTCCTTGGCTTGCTCAAGGTCACCTAAATCCTTGTAAATCAAAGCTAAGTTATTGTAGCTTCTTGCAACATTAACATGTTCCGGGCCGAGCTTGTCCAGTTCAATGTCCAGAGCACGTTGCTGATACTCCTTGGCTTGCTCAAAGTCACCTAAATCCTTGTAAATCAAAGCTAAGTTATTGTAGTTTCTTGCAACATTAACATGTTCCGGGCCGAGCTTGTCCAGTTCAATGTCCAGAGCACGTTGCTGATACTCCTTGGCTTGCTGAAAGTCACCTAAATCCTGGTAAATCAAAGCTAAGTTATTGTAGTTTATTGCAACATTAACATGTTCCGGGCCGAGCTTGTCCAGTTCAATGTCCAGAGCACGTTGCTGATACTCCTTGGCTTGCTCAAGGTCACCTAAATTCTTGTAAATCGAAGCTAAGTTATTGTAGTTTCTTGCAACATTAACATGTTCCGGGCCGAGCCTGTCCAGTTCAATGTCCAGAGCACGTTGCTGATACTCCTTGGCTTGCTCAAAGTCACCTAAATCCTTGTAAATCAAAGCTAAGTTATTGTAGCTTGTTGCTACATCAACATGCTCCGGGCCGAGCTCTTGAAGCTTAAAAGTGAGTGAATATTGAAAATATGTTTTTGCTTCTTCGAATTCACAGTGCATTTGACAAACATCTCCAAGGTTTTCGCATTTTTCGGAAATCTCCTTATCATGAACTTGAAAGAAATTATCTCGCAAAAACACTTTGTCAGTTACCATAATTAAAGCTTTCAAATGTGGAGCGATGTGTCTGGTGTTTAGTTGCTTATCCTGTGGTGGAGTTGCGACGATAAATTCGCTAAATGATGTAATGACCCCACTAACGACCTCATCGGTTTGGCTTTCTGCCGACTCTTTTGCTACAGTTTTTATAGCATCATGCACAACCTGGTGAAGTCCAATAAAAGAGCCACCCTCGTCATCTTGGAACAGCAGAAGTGAGCTTCTTTTTAATCTCATGCGAATTAATTCTTTGTCCGCTTCATCAAACTCTTCATGTGCGTTCATGATGTAACTAACTGCTATGTCCACGTTTAATGGCCGTGGAGCGCAGAGGGTAAGAAAAGTGAAAAGGTGTTTTTGAACTTTGTCGGATCTCATCAGTGTTTCGACGGCTAACGTTATTGCTTTGGTCATTGAATTTGGATAAATTGGATTGGTGTCGACAAGTGTATTTTCTGTTTTCTGTCTTTTTCCTTTTTCTAAGATTTTCAGGTATTCCTCCCACCCAAACTGCGTAGATACTTTGTCCTGCCGAATCTCTTTAACAAAGACGGCAGCGCCTGCTAAATCAAGAGGTTGATAGTCCAGTCTTTGTGCTACTGTTCCTAATAGCTCGCTATTTGGGATACCAGAAAGCTTAGACAATAATGAACGGGCATCATCGGGCTCCATACCTTGGCTTACTGAAATGTGATTAACGAAAGAGCTTTTTGAGGGAATTGACGTTGTGTCCTGCGTCGTAATGAGCAAATGGCCTCTTTCCCAAGCCTTTGAATTAAACTGTGGTAAATGGACATGCACAGATGACATGGTAGTGACATTGTCAACCACCAATAGCCACGACGAGTAACAGGTAATTTTTACAGCGACAAGCATCTTAAGACTAGTGATCTTTTCGTCCACAGTCGAGTCCTTTGAGCTGAGGGTTTCCACAATTGAATAGTCTGGGCACTTTAAGTGGCGAGCAAATGAGGCATACGACTCCAGAAGTGAATCTGGACTTGCAGCATTTAATGTCATTACAAATGAAGACCCACCTGGCATTTCTTTGAGGTCGTCAAAGAATCTCTCAGCTACAAGGCCAGCTAGCTGTGATTTACCGCTTCCAGGATTCCCTGAGATGTAAAGATAACTCAACCTGTTGTTACCGGACTCATTTAGTTCCCTCAGCTGTTGGACTATTTTTGCTACTTCACTTTCACGACCACCGATTTCATGCGAAGGTTTAGGAGGGAGAACACAGAATGAGGGTGCTTTATTTTGGAGCTGATCTTCAAGGACCTGGCGCTGACTCTCTTTTTCTTGAACTTCTTGTTTCAGATTATCAACTTCTTTTGTTGGAAATGTTTTCTGATATTTTAGGTTTTGAATTTTTACAGTGGGAAGACTAAGAGCTTGAAACGCAACATCAACTTTGCTAATAGCATTCTGAAAATCTATCTCAGAGAGACTACCTTGTGGCATGTGAGCGAATGCTTCATTCCTGAACTTTCGTAGATCATTTACATTTTTTCTGACCAGTGCGTTAAGACCTGTCCCGACGCAATCGGAGAAAAGGATGGAGTAAAAAAGCATTGTACAATCCCATTCCACTCTGTTTCCGTTTTTCATAGTTGCCAAAAGATGAGCGTTTCTTTTTTGATTTCGAGGAGACTCTCCGTTATAAAACTCCATTCCATTACGAAGCTCGTCTTTCCATTCTCCTGTTGTTGATTTGTACAGTTTGTCCCATTCTTGTTTAAATATCTCTCTCAGACCCTCCGCTAGAATATCAGTGGTTACATAGCAAATTCTGTAATAGTTCAGCTGTTCATCGGTATATTCGTTTAAAGAGGCCATATTTGATGCACCTCCGATGCTTGGAACCTTTAAGGAAAATGAATCCTGCAATTAGCAAATTAGTTCAGAGGGGGAAAAATTATCAGTGACGTAGATAACGCGGTCTATGAAGTAAAAACATTTACTTCTGACACAAGCATGTCAGGGCATACCCAAAACCCAAATTTGCTAGTATATCAGTAGTTGGGTAACAAATTCTGTAATAGTTTAGCTGTTGCTCGGTATATTCTTTTGAAGATGCCATAGTTGATGTACGTCTGATGCTTCAATCTTTGGGGAAAGATTTTCTCTGCAATTAGTGACAACATACGCGGGGGTAATACCCTTTGTAAGCTATATAGGTGTGTCCTACAGACGGTATGGTTTTTTTAGCCGTTTTGATCTCATGAAAACGGATCAGCCCATTAGAGTCTTAAAATGGGTACCGTTTTCAATGGAACAACAAGAGGTTATAGTTTGGATCAATTTAGTTTTCTGGGAAACTGCCCACCTACCCCTCCCCTAAGCCATCATTTTGCCCTAAGTGAGAAGTAAGTGTTAATGTTAGCTTGGGGGAGGGGTAGTTGGGCAGTTTTTCAGAAACCTAAATTGATCCAAACTTATTCAGAGTCAGATACTAATTTTCGTTTTGCGTGCTTTGCCTCAAAAACACCGGCTTTGTGCAGTGCTATTCCCTTGGCTCCCGTAAAAAATGTTGCACGCTTGTGTTTAATTTTGCTTTATTCAGTAATTTTTGTTTTGCGTGCTTTGCCTCACAAACATCGGGTTTGTGCAGTACTTTTCCTTCGGCTCCCGTAAAGTCAGTTACGCGCTTTTGTTACGCTTAGCTTTAGTCAGAACTTTGTTTTGCGTGTTTTGCCTCACAAACACCGGGTTTGTGCAGTGCTACTCCCTCGGCTCCCGTCAAGTTTGTTGCATGCTTGTGTTTATTTTGCTTTATTCGGTAATTTTTTGCTTTGCGTGTTTTGCCTCACCAACATCGGGTTTGTGCAGTGCTTTTCCCTTCGGCTCCCACTTTGGTTTTCTTTGCTTTATTCAGTTTGCTTTTGTTATGCGTGCTTTGCCCAACAAGCTCCGGTTTGTGAAATGGTTTTTTCCCCGGCTCCACTCGAATTTGCACGCTTTTGCTTTGTATTATTCGGTTTTAAGTTTGGGTTCTGCGTTCTTTCCCTCACTAATTTAATCTTCCTTCGATTCCGTAAAGTTGGCTCATCACTTTTGTTGCATTTGTGCCTTATTTGGTCAATCTGTTCGGCGCGTTTTATTTTACACTTATTTCCTCGGCCCCTGTAGATTTTGAATGATAATGTTGCATTTTTCTGTAATCTGGTACGCGAGTTTCGCCACGCAGCCTCCTGTTCTGCGGGTTTACTCCCTTGTACCAGTGTATTTGCATCCATGTGTTCCTAGTTGTTTTTCTATTCTTTTAGTTTATCTGTGCTATTTGTTCCTCGCCTTTTCTGCCGTCATTTCATATGTTTTTCTTCATGCGATTCCGTGGTAGCCTGAAAGGGTATCTTATGCCCTAGTCGGATTGCTGACGCTCAGGCTGCCATCCCTTGGGTGGGTTTTTCTCGAGTCTTCTCTGCGCCTTAGGTTTCCTTTTTACCTTGGACCTTTATCTCCAGTTTATTTGCTTGTTGCCACTCAAGGGTTGGCAGCCAAGAGACTATAAAGGGGACAGAGAGGGCATCCCCCATATA